GTAGAGGCTATATCATTGTGCAATAGAAAGCAGGGTGGATTATGGTTTAATTGTGGCAGAACTATAGGAGATTCTGTCAGAATCAGAGCAGAATTGTGCAGGATCTGCGGATTGGAAGAGATGATCTAAATATTAAATCAATTTAAAATAGAATGTATGGTGAATTCTCGTAGAATTACACCAGATTCTGCCAGTATCACAGCAGCATTCAAGAGAATCTTTCGATCGCTAGAGACCATACTGCTACATTCTCCTCAATTCTGTTGTGATTTTGGCAGAGTCTCGTCCAATTCTGGCAAACATTCAACCAGAATCCACCCTATTTTCTATTTTACAATAAGACACTCTCTACGAATTCGGCTCTCTTCTCTACGGTCGGTATATTCGACTCAATTCTGCTGCGATTTTGGCAGAATTTGCTGCAGGTCTGCGAGGATTCAACCAGAATCCACCGTATCTTCTATTTGACAATAAGATACTCTACGAATCGGTAGACTATAACTTTGCAAATCTTCAATACACTATTTAGCCAAATAGAATCATGGTTGATTACATATATATCTGTTCGTCATTTCATGAAAGTCTGATTGTAAGCTTCATCCTATTCCGTTTGTAATCAGTTTACGCCCAAGTTTTTTCTATCAATTGACAATAAAATTTCTGTTCTTAAAATATTAACTTGAGCTAGTTAAAAGTATTAAAAGTTTAATTGTTTAAACGTTCGCCACAGATGTATCAATAAGGGTATGCCAAATTACAATGAACCTGTCCATTTACCAAATTACTTTTAAACAAAACTAGCTAGAGATCTGCGATTTTCATCAGTGCGTAACCCAAATGTATTAGCATCTTTTCTGTACCAAAAGGAAGAGCATTTTTTCAGGTGGTATGCCAGTCAACTGTTTCGAAGAACAGGTTGTGGCTACCACAGTGCTTTCTATGATTCTTATACGGATATAATAGCCGAAAGTGTCCTCGACAAATCTGGAGTTAAACCACCTCTTCATCAATCTTGGTTCGATGAGGAGCTCAGATTTCTTAGGATCACTAATATTGGATTATCTTAGCACTAGATAACCTTGACAGTTAATGGAAATATACGTTATCGACCACGCTGAATCTCATGGTAATGTTTGTTTTACAAAAATTCAAACGTCTAGTAATAATGTATATTACGTGAAAGAATCCATCTCTGGCTACTTTCACCGAAAAGTACGCAATTCATAATTTACTGAATAACGATTCAGACTACTTCAAAATATCAAGATAAACTCTATTTTATTCGCTTGATCTGATTCTTAACTTTAAATTAGCAGAAACTATTCTCTTGACTGAAAAGGTTCCTTTTCAAGAACCAAAATACTTTCTAGCAGTTTTTGCAACGTTTGTTGGATTCTAAGGTATTACAAAGATAAAACAAAGTTTATCTGGATGTTTTGAAGTGGTCTAGATCGATATTGAATAATTATAAATTGTTTACTTTTTGGTGAAAATAGCCAGAGATGGATTTTTTCACGTAATATAGATTATTACTAGGCTTTCGATTTTTTGGAAAACAAACATTACCATGAGATTCAGTGTATCGATAACGTATTCAAATTCAGAGTACGTTATCGATACGTTATATCGATAACGTATGTTTCCCTTAACCGCTAAAGTTATCCAGTGCTAAGGTAACCCAATATTGATGATCCTGGGAAATCTGAGCTCTCCGTCGGACTACGATTACACTCAGTCAGTCACCTATATGTTTTGAAAATTCGTTTTAACGCGGTTTTAACATTCATAGAGCGCGAGAATATACAGTTTCACCATGAATACGGTGAATTTCTTGAGCTTTAAATATATGCCTTAATCAAAACCGCATTGTTGCCATCAATGATTCGCGAGAAACGTGTTTATGACCATCATAACTTTTTAAAAACGCGTTTTCGGTCGCAACAGACTTCAGGACTCGCGAATGGCACCGAATGTTTCGCGTTTAGTACTCAATTGAAACGAATTTAGCGCGTTCTGGCCAGAAATGAAATTTGAAAAACGAGTTTCACTTTTCAAAATTTATAAGATAGTTTCTTGGACACGTAAAACTCGTTTCGTAGACTGAAGTCGTGAAATTAGGCATTCTATAACAAATAATGAGTGAAAAACGCGTTTTTAAGGCAATGCAACATCACAAACGCGAGATTAGCTCAAGAACCACGATAAAACGAATTATTCTATAAAAAGGGAGAAAGAACGCGAGTTCAGCTTTAAAGTATCCCGTGAAACTCTGTTTACGAAAAATTTAGCGCGTTTAACGCAACCTATGATTACGTCAAACGCGATACTCGCACTTTGTTTTTCAAAAGAATTTCTCGCGATAAATTTTTCGTAAACAGAGTTTTGTGCGATATTTTGAAACTAAACTCGCACTTTTTCGCGCTTTTTTTAGATGACTATGACTGATTGAATACTTATTTCGGAGTAGAAGCATTCTCAAGAATTTCTGAAACTGACATTGGATTCCTAGCAAAAAGTTATTTCGGGAAACTTAGCCTTTAACTATGTCAGATATACTATGGGAACTTTGGGTTTTTTCTATATAAACTTTGACAACGTAGCTGCAACGTATCTCATGACACCCTGTTTAAGAAAAATTTAGCGCGTTTAACGCAACTTATGATTACGTCAAACGTGATTCTCGCGCTTTGTTTTTCAAAAGAATTTCTCGCGAGAAATTTTTCGTAAACCGAGTTTCGCGCGATGTTTTGAAGCTAAAACCGCGTTAAAACGAATTTTCAAAGTATATAGGTGACTGACTGGGCAATTATCAGTTAAAAGTAACCGTAACCTGTACACGGCTGGCGTATGGCAAAAAATAGTGAAATGTCTCTCAATACTTACAATGCTGAAAACAAACAGGAATGTATTTGTTTTGGTATGTTTACGTTTGATCTCTTTCATATGTATTTGTTTTTACTCGTGTTCTTTTATTGAAAAAAAATTAAAAATTGAAATCTGTTAGGTTTTTTTGTTCTTCTTTCTCATTTCTAGAAAAAAGTAAAGTTGTTTTGCACGAAAGACAGACAATAATTTCTTTCTTTTTCTGATTTTTTACTCTTTGAAATTGTGATGGTAGAATACCTTGCATATATTTTCGTGTTTAAAAGAAGTTTAGGTTCGTCTCGATCTATGAGAAAAGAAATATTAGTATAAAAAATATATCAGTTGTCAATAACAAAATGTAGAAAGAAAGTTTTATTCATTATAATCATCATAGAACTTACAAATGAAAGACAACAAAGTCAGAAAACTATAATTTGATTTTATAAATACTTTTCTGTTAATAAGATAATAGAATATCATGACAATAGTAAAAAATAAAGAGAGAAATGATGAATAATAATAATTATATTCTGCTGTAGATATATATTTTTTCGTGTAATTTAGAAAGTTGAAACGAATGACGAATAATAATCGTTTTTTTAACAAGTAAGTTTTTCTCTTCAATAATGATTCACTGTTCTGATCATTCTCTATGTAAAATAGCATTGATGAAGATGATAGATGGTCGCCAAAATTTGATAAATCCAAAGTAAAACTTATGGTATGATTTATGTCTTAGATTGCTTCGGTCGTAATTTCTACTCTTTAATCTCATTTTTAGCATGATATAACCGAACGTGATAGACGTATGAGAACTGAACGAGCACCATTTCCAACTGACTTAAATTATCTAGATGTCCCAGAAGGTAAAAGAAAAATATGTTCATTTCTTATCATAATAAAGTTAGACAATATCTATTCAGGATTTCGATCTGATGACGTTGAAGTATCATCACATTTATCCACTACTCAACCATTAAAAACAATAATAGTAAATTCAAATGAAAAGGTACAAAATTATAATCATGTACAGTACAAACTGATAGTTTTTCTTAAAATTCTTTTGCTTTTGCTTTTTTCTAGTTTACTCCAAAGTCTTCACAACTATCTGTGATAAAAATTTCTCGTCCACAATCGACAGCACTAGTGAAATCAAAACCGTCAGATGTAATATCTGTTCAAACTCCAATTGGTGGAACTATACCCGAGAGTCTTTATAATGCTCCATTAAGAGGTATTTAGTTATTTAACATTTAACGTTTTAGTCGCCTACTACACGATAGAAAAAAATTCGCATTTTACGCTTATTTTGAGAATTCGCAGCAAAATGATGCGAGCTGTATCAAATCCGTACGAATACTTATAAAAACTTTTACGAATTCATCTTACGAATTCGTAAACATCCGAATAGATCAAACACGATGCTGATCAATTCGCAAATAATTCGTAAAATTAGTTTACGAATTAGTATTCACTGCTTTTAGAACTAAATTAATTCGTAAATACGAATTAGCGAATTCGTATTACGAACTGATCCAGCGGCTGAAAATGGCTACTTCTAATATCAATTCGTCGTTATTCTTACGAATTCGTAAAATACGAATTAATGTCAACTGAAATACAGCGAAGCACGTTTGGTTTGTTGTGTAAACACTCACAGCCATCCTCGCAAAATTTCTCGTCCTCGATATCAATTCGCATTTTACGAAGTCGTAAAAATAACGGCGAATTGAGATGAGAAGTATGTGCGTTGATGCGAAGAGGCGAATCTACCTATTTTTAACGTAAAATTGAGGTCAACCCAGTGAAAAAGAATGAGCGTGATTCCGCCAGTTCCTGCGGGAAAATATTTTTTCGTCGGATGTTTCAATTTTTCTGCAGGAAATTTTCAGTTTTCGGCGGGAAAACGCTGATTCACGACGAAATGTTTTTTCTGAACGTATACAGACTGTAGAAAAATTTGTTTTTCTGTGGAAATTTTCATGCAGGATTCTGCCGAATATTTTTTCAGCAGAACACTGTGAAAAAAAATGAGCGTGATTCCGCAAGTTCCTGCGGAAAAATATTTTTTCATTGGGAATTTCAATTTTTCGGCGGGAACCATCAATTCACGGCGAAATTTTTTTGCAAACTATGCAGAATTTTTTTTCTATTAAACTTTCATGATTCTGCGACATATTTTTTCGGCAGAAATATATCTCAACACTTGGATCAGAAAAACAGGCCGATTTGTGAGGTTTTTAGAAGAGCAAACAACTATATTAGAGTCAAACTCTGATTGCGGTCGTCATGTATACTGTCATCTTTACGACAACGAATACATTTAGCAATCAAATTTGTTTATCGATTAATATTAATTAGTTCCCGTAAATTTTTCCCAAATTCTTGTAAATCTTAATCAACTAATAGATTAAAAAATATTCGAGAAAATTGTTATGAATTGTTATGAGTAAGTAAATGCTTTTCTCAGTCAGCTAGTGATCGTAAGCCGAAACGCCAGGATACACATTTCGAGATGTGCTCTACAAACTGGAAAATTTAAAATGAATAGCTGCTATCCTTTGGAATAAACGCAAGATATCTTCAAAACGAGAAAACAGCAAAAAGTCTTTAAAATCAGCTATTAATATCAGCAGAATTTTTACCAGGAGAAAACTCTAAAATTAGAGCGATCTAGTCAGATTAGGAGATTCGTATACCTGGTCACTCGATAGAAGAATTTGCGCGAAAATTCTGCGTGCCAATCGATATTCAAAAAATTCCTTTTGTTCCGCAGGAA